TAAATAGATAGTAATAAGGTTAAAATAAAAAAATTTATCTATCTTAACAAATTAAAAAAAATTAATTTCAGACAAATTTAAAATAAAAAATAAAGTTATTTTGAGTTAAAATAAGCAATTCTTTCTCAACTATTTTTTTTTTAACTTTTATAATAAAATTAATTTCTTAGCAAATAGGTCAAAAGTTTACAATAAAAATTAAATCATATTTTTCTTTATCAAATTAAATCATATTTCTTTTTCTTAAACCCCTTCATACTTCTCCCAAAATTTTAACTTAAAGGTTTTTAACATTGAAATTTAAGTTTCCAATTGTTAAGACATTATAGAAAATGACAAGAGTAGGCTCTATATATACGTAGGAGATTATACATTCGGGCACCCACAGTCTCTCTTCATTTATCCAGTCTACTCCGTTTATGTTTGCCCAGAAGCTCTTCATAGATTCCATCCGGTCTTTAAGTACCCGTTTCCAACTTCTAACAAGTAAGCTTCTGCAATATTCCTTAAACAAAAGCATCAATTGTTGTCTCGCTACTATACGATCCTCAAGTGGTTTATTTAGTTTCTTAATCGACAAAGCATATTAATTAATTCGTTTTAAAACGGTAAAAGAGATAATTTTATTAATTAGTACTATATAAGGGATACTCTGTTAAGAAAATTTTGAGGTTAAAATCTATACCTTTCTTTCTTCAGGAAATGGCGGAAGCCCCTCAGTCAGCTGAAAATGAAACAAGTTGCTATGTATCAATTGCTATACAAAATGACGGCACAAGGAAGGAGCAGAAAGTCCTCAGAGTGCCTCGCAAACTAATTGAGGTAAATAAAAAAGCCTATGAACCTTATGTCATCTCTCCTCTGAATTTCCAACAGTTTATATGGTTTCTTAATCGACAAAGCAAATTAATTTATTTTTTTAAAAGCGGTAAAGAGATTTTTTTTTTTAATTAATTGTATAAGGGATACTTCATTAAAAAAATAATTGAGGTTGAATCTATGCCTTTGTTTCTTCAGGGGATTGAGGAAGTTTCTCAGTTAGCTAAAACTGAAACAAATTGTCATGTATCTGTTGCTATACAAAAGAACCGCACAAGCAAAGAGCAGAAGCTGCCTACTTTGCCTTCGGATTTGCCTTGGACAATGCCAGCGCGGAAAATCCTCAGAGTGCCTCACCAACTACTCAAGGTAAATGAAAAAGCCTATGAACCTTATGTCATTTCTATCGGTCCATACCATCGTGGTAAAGATCACTTAAAGGAAATGGAAAGACATAAGGTGCAATCTTTAAATAGGCTTCTTCAAAGCACAAATGAAAGGGTTGAAACATATCTATCAGCAATAGATAAAATGGTGGCAAAGGTTCGTAATTGTTATTCAGAACCTTTAGAAATTTCTGACGAAGAATTCGTAGAAATGATGGTCCTTGATGGATGTTTTATTATTCAATTTTTTATGGAAAAGTTGGAAGATTCTTTCTACTACGAAGGCCTGATCGGTACAAGCATTTTGCATGATTTGGTTCTAGTTGAGAATCAACTTCCCTTTTTTGTACTATGTGAGTTATTGGACATAATCCCCAAAATGTTGTTCAACATGTGGGGTTCTACTGATCCAAAACACGGATTTATCCGTCGGTTAATTGAAAGGTTTGAAAATTTGATGCCAGGGCTCAAGGTTGACCGAACCTGTAATGACAATTCCATAGAAGTCAAGCATCTAGTACACTTATTACACTCCAATTGGCGTCCTTCAAAAAAAGCAATGGATAAATACAATGAGCAGCGAGAAAAGTGGACATGGGAATTTATGATACGTTGCGCTACAGAACTAAAAGGGGCAGGAATTGAGTTCAAAGGAGTTGAGACAGGAAGTGATGTTGAAAGGAGCTTATTTGATATCAAGTTCCAAAACGGGATACTAGAGATGCCAAAAGTGACTATTGAGGACGACACGGAGAGTTTGTATCGTAACCTCATTGCCTGTGAGCAGTTTGACACTTCGGATCCACCGTTCTTAACTGAATATGTTGCCCTCATGGATTCCCTAATCGACTCAGGAAAGGATGTGGAGTTACTTTGTAAGAGTAAGATAATTGTTAATCTTTTAGGCGATGATGAAACAGTTGCAGTATTGTTCAACAGGCTCGGACATCATACTAATTTATCCAGTGAAAATTTCTTGTATGCCCAGTTATTTAGGGATGTCAACGAGCATTACAAAAAACCCTGGAATAAATGGAAAGCAGTCTTAAGGCACAAGTATTTCAACACTCCATGGGCTTTTATTTCCTTTCTTGCTGCAACTTTGTTGCTTCTACTTACAGTGCTCCAAACTTCATTTACAATCTTCCCTCCATCTTGAAATTTGAAAGGGCAAGAAACCCAAGATCAAAAGTGAATTTGCAAGTGTTACATAGACTAGTAGAAAGGGTTTGCTACGTTTTGTTTTCTGCAATTACCTTATTGTATTGTACTGTATCTTGCTTTTTTAAGATAATTTTACTATTGTTACCATGTTTTATTTAGGTTTGTTTGTCTTGTACTGCATCTTGCTTTATAAGATGATCTTACAATTGTTACCTTGTTTTCTTTAGGTTTGTTTTGTTGAGTTCCTTTAAGCTTGTAAGTTGTGAGAGCTCTGTTAAAGATTGTTACTGCCTAAATTTGTTGCAAATTTGCAATATAGTTGTTTACACCATAAATTGCAAGATTTAGGGTTATGCTACGTGTCAATTTATTTTAAATGGTTGGAAGAGATTGATCCACATCAGACATGATGTTCTAGGACCCTTAACAAATCAAATGCCACATAATTTTTTTTTTTTTAAAAAGGCAAAAAAGGAAGGGGGCAGTAAAGATGAGGTTTATCCATTAGTTGCCCATTTGAGTCATGGTGGAATTGCTTTAGCTGGTTTTTAGGAGTTTGTTTTACTTAAAATTGTGAGTTGAAAGATAACAAGGATACATGGCGAAATTTGGATGGAGATCTGACTTAGTTTACTGCTGAGGTGTCCATCATTTTCAGGAAACCACCCACATTCGTACAACCAGTAGGTAGTGGGGAGTTGCAAGTGAGGAGGAGACAAATAAAAGGAAATTTTTTGATCATTTAACACACAGCCAGCCCTACATATAACTAATCAAATTTTCAATTCTCTAGTTTTATAGTGATTGCTCTCTTTACCTTATAGATTTCGGTTTTCAGTATAGATTCCAATAAATTTAGGTTGATTTTAGTATTCAAATAGCCAAGTCAATCCATGTAGTTGCTCCTACGATTTTCTTTTGTCTAATGCACATCAAGCTTTTCAATTTCTACAAGGTATTTTTCTTTTCATGAATGGTATTAGTTTAATATTTATGATAAGTAATGTTTCTTTAAATGATTATTTATATGGCGTTTATGTTTTTTCTTAATTTATGGCATGCTAGTTTAACCTCTATTCATATTAGGTTCATGATTATTTAGGGTTAAATCTCTAGTTATGCAATAGTTTGATTTCTAGATTTTTTTGTAGATAATGGTTTAATTCTATAATGAACATGCTTAATTTAATTTAAATGTAGCTTTTATTTGCAAATTTATGTTAATTTGCATGCCATTTAATTCATTTAGGATCTGTTATCTTTAATTCATGGTAGTGTTTAAGTTTTTGGAGTTGTCCAAGGTAGATTTAGCAACCCATTTTGCAGGAAGGCATTCCTCTCTCTTGCAAATCGTCTGAAGGCATAGATTTTATTTTAAACCAACGTTCTTCTAACTATCCATAAGGAGGTCAACTGCGAGGGAGGAGAGAGTCATTAGGAAAATCCTTCTTTCTTGCTTTTCAGTAAAATAAATGGCACACCAACATTCAAATTTCGCACATGCAGCACTGCTTAGGGATTTTTGAGGAAACAACAATGTTTCATTATGTTTCTCAAATGCTCCAAAGGGTTGTCCCATTTGGTTAAGAGCTTTAAATTCCAAGGTAGATATCTTAGATTCAAATTTTAAGTCAAATGGGGAAGAATTTGAGGAAATGGGAGAGTTATCTTTTTTTATATAACCTATCATCAATACACCAAAAAGAAAATTGTCTTTCCGAAAAAATATTAGATTTTGAATATTGAGTTCTCATATTAACAGTGATTATTCAATTGTTCTTGACCTTAAGTTTGATTTTCTAATAACTAGACAAATTGAACCTAAAAAGCTTGCTTGATGCTAATTGATAAAATGTTGAACAAAGAACCTTATTAGTAGTAAGGAAGCATCATTTATGGGATAACTAGTGAAATTGTTGATGATGGTAGTGTGTCAATTGTGAGTCTCATGGTTGGCATTTATAAATCTCCCATTAATGGGCACAAGATTACTAGTGTGTAATTTCACTAGCAAGATAACAAGAGTAAACTGGTTTTACAAGTAACATGTCGACATGTGTTAACATTTATAAACCTCTCCTTGGAGGCACAAAAGAGTTCCCCCATTCGCTTTAGTTGGACATGGAATGAATAAGCCCCAGTGAAGTGACAAAGGGAAGTATGGAAATAGACCCTCCATTGATTTCTCTCTATATCTATTTATGCTAATGCCAAATTGCTAATGCGCACATATTGTTTGCTCTATATAGGCAAGCTTCCCTATGGAAGTTCAATTTACATAGTGCAGAAATGGTGTTCGGAAGGAAGAATATTGACTCAATAGATATCAATTAATTTGACAGCCACTTATATAGTGGAACTAAGGCTTAGTTTAATAGTGTTGGTCTTTAATTGCAGATGTAAGCTTTTTTGGTCTTTTAACAAATTAAAAATATATAAAATATATTTAATATTTATTATAATTAATATTTTATATATTTTTAAAGTAATGAAAAGACAAAAACTAAAAATTAAAAGACCTAAATGTATTGTCAAATGAAACCCAAAGCTAGTCACTATTTGGGAACAAATGAACACTAAAGAATAATAGTAGCGAGTTGGTCACAAGCTTCTTTCGTTTCTTTCCAACTCTTTCATCTCTAAGCTATCTCTATCATTTCAATTTTTTTTTTTATCAGCAGATTAAATATTATTAAAAAGGTATAAGGGGTACTTAAAATCAGTCCATTTTATATTAACACAATATCTAAAAATAAGGACTTTTGTTTTAAGGGTTACATTTGAATGATGCAGCATCCTATCCTAGTCAATTACTTGCACACTCTAAGGGATTACTTGACCATTCATGTAAAGAAAATGTAAATCCCTTTCCCTTTCCTTTTAACCATAGAAATATTCTAATTGGAACGGCTTGAAACATACCTCTCTGTTGCTTTGAAAATGAAATTGTTCCGTGCAATCCCAAGTGACCATGAGACGAAAATAAAGACAAAAGACCACACTTTCCATATATTTGCATGGAAGAACCCCAAAGCCACTTGTCTAGATGCCTCCTAAGCTGTATTTGGAAGTACAGCCACGTATCCCAACCAAGTGAAGCATTTCATCCACTTGTCATATCCTCTATCCTTGGTGATTCCTTGCCCGAGATGCTTGTGGACAGGATGGTTTACAAGTCTCAATAAGACTAGTCCAGCCGATCTTATAGTGGCAACAATTGGAATCATATCGACCACCCTTAGCTGAAGCGTTGCTCAAGATGTCTGTGGACTAGATAGTTTACAAATGTCCCTGAAGCTAGTCTAACTAAAGAGAATATTGTAGTGCAGTTTGCCTTATATGAATTATGCTACTTTTAATAATTGATAGAGGAGTGAACTCCCCATATTAAAGACACTCATTTCTTCATCAATGGTTATTAAAAATGCAAGGTGAATTACACTTCAGTTTTTTATTAACCAAAAAGGTCTATTAATTTAAAATATCTTGTATAGCCTATTCAACTTGATACACTTCATTCAAGAATTGAAATTCAAAGTGAAAAATGGATAATACACTTGATTTTTTGTATTCCGAAATGCCAATATGTGGATTGAACACAGCAGCATTTTGTAAGATATGTTACTTATATGTAAAAAATAAAGTGATCTGGAGGACAAAACCACTTGCAAAATTGGTAATTAAATAATGAAAGCAATATTTAAGATCTCCAGTTTCTTCCATTTTCTAATTGTTTTAATACAGCTGTCATCACACCGATAACATCTCCAAATCATTTCTTTTTCTTCTCCTCAACCAACACTCGAAATTCCTAACTGAAAACAACTCTCTTGTTCAAATCAATTCACATCAACTATAGGCTCCATCTGCAGTCATTATAATAAAAAGAAATTGTCTACAACATGCAATGCTTTTTCCCTTTTGGCCACAAAAGTATGTCTACAACATGGAACACACTAGAGAAACTAATCAGGTACTTCAATTGCTCTTTCTTTGCTCTAAACTTCATATCAGCTCACTCTAAATGAAAGAGACCTGCGTGTAACTCAAACTGCTTAATCTAAAGTTAGAAACTCAAACTTTGCCCCCAGTAAGCATGATTTGCACTCTTATAAATGGTTCAAATTCTAGCAAACAAGATCAAGATGATAAATGTAAATGCAGCTTTTGTTTTCACCTTATATTTGGGGAATTTTATCAAATAGCAGATAATTCCCAAAGAACATGGACAGCGGTAACTGTTTCTCTGCCACAGATATTTACATTTCATGTTATCAGTTGGCTATTACATTCTCCATTTCATATAAATGCAGCTTTTGTTTTCACCTTTTTTTTCTTGCATCTATAGAACCAGGCAGCCATTTCTAGGTAAAAGCTACAAAAAGAGCAGTAACGCCACTAATTTTTCTTAAAAAATATTGCCAAAAGCCACCACTTTCTCAGGTATATAACAAATTTCACTATGAATAGTAATGATAAAATTTCAACTAGCTGCAAACAAATTCTTACCCTATTCCAACAATTCCACACAAACATGAACAAAATTACTTTGAATTCATTATTTTCACGATAAGAATATAACTGTGTTAAAAAAAGAAAGAAACTTTACATACCTTTTCAAGAAAAGAAGATTGACTTAAAACCCTTTAGGCCCGTCTCCCTTCAAAACCACAAGCTTCTCAGCCATGGATAAACAGTACTTAGCAATTTCACTGAACTTGGGCACACTCCTATGATCAACCTTAGTTCCATCGAGGGTTATCAATGGTGGATGGCAGCCAACAGCAGAAGGCAAAAATCCGCTATGATAGTGTTGCTACTTTTATTGAACAACATTAGCGATCATTTAAATATATAATTATATAAATTTAAATGATCGCTAATAAGAGCACAACTGCTGATTGTGATCATTTAATTAACAGTATAATTGACCTAATAAGAGCACAACTGCTGATTGTGATCAGCAAATTACAGGGCCTACAGCTCTAAGAACTCATATGATTATCAACAATTGAAAGTTTTACTCAATTAAATTTTGTTTTTTTTCTTTTTTAATTTTGTGACTCAAAATTCTGATCCTGCTCATTATTAATAAGAAGACACAGCAATTAGAGAATGCTTTCCAAGATTCAAGCAGCACACCATAAGCAATGACATTAATTTTTTTCCTCCCATAAATATTTGGGCAAATTAGAGACGAGAGAAACCCAACTGAAAAATGTAAAAATTACAAACTAAAAAAATAAAAATTACAAAAGTCTAATGTAGTAACAGCTATAACAGTCTAATCACAATTGCACTGTTACACATTTTCTTTTGTGTTACAAAATTAAGGAACTTACAACAAAAATTAGACGCTAATTAGAGGGAAAAGATAGTAGGATGCTTACCTCTCAAAATCAGTGCTCTTCATACTTATTAGGGTTTCAATGGGAGGAGAATCAGAAAGGGTGACTGAAGAGGATCAGAATAAGAAAGATCAGAACCTGCTCGGTGCTCTACTCTCAAATTTTCGACTAAGGGAGAATTGGAAAAAGGTAGAATCGAGAGGGACAATTGGAGAAGGAGATTAGAAGGAGAAAACGCGGTGAAGGAAGATCAGAAGAAGAGATCGTTCTGCCAGGAAAAGGAAGGAATAAACTCTTGAATTTAATCCTAATTAAAATTTTATAATCAATGAACACAAAACTCTTGAATAAGGTTGTCCGACACAAAGTGTTCTACTGACCATCCCCCGGTGAGGTTCAGTGCTTGGACAGTCAAGTCCTGATTTGTAGCTCAGGCAATTATCCTTCCCTCAAATTTTTAGTGTAAACAAAAAAAAAAAAAAAAAACAACTCTTGAATAAGGTTTATCGATTTTTCTGTTTTTGCCTAATTTAGTAAGTATTGTGAATTATGTAATATATGTACACATCAATTTCATTTCTTTCTACTTTGTATGAGTTGAGATTAATGCTCAACGTCTATGAATTTGAGAATCGCAAAAGGCATGCCTTTTGGAGGGGAATCTATGATATGGAGATGAAAAAGGGCATTAAGTGGCCTTAGGAAAAAATGGTAGAGACTGTAGAGCAGATATAGGCGGTCGGTGATATATTTGGCCCACAAAAGCAGCTATCAAAGACA